AATGTCATTGATATTGGATCTTAGGGAACTACTAAAACAATCAATTGTAAAATGAATACAGAGCGAGATATTTGAAATCGGTTTTGTTTTTCGTTATTAATGCAAAAACTTGGCAATCGAGCTTGTATTTGTTCACCTGACATTAAGTGATTACCGCCGCCCACTGACGGGTTTCAAATGCGTTTTTCCAACATTAAATAAGTGGGTTATGGCAACAGCTACACAAACTATTTCTCATTAGTATGAAATAACTGGCTGTTATTATGTAGCTGGTATTTTATGGTGTTATGGCCAAGTAACAGGAACAGGCGTAAATTACTTGATATTACGAATAAGTTGCACTCCTACTTCCAACTTATTTACTTCCAAATATATTTCTCGGCTTTTGCATTCGAATGGGCTTTCTGATTATTTCTAAATTCGAATGGCCCTCTCGTGACCTATCCATCGAAACGCTGGCGATTACGCAAAAAGCGAGAGAAATGTAAAGATTGCTTTTCTCGAAGTCAAACTATGCCGCAATACTCTCCTTCAAGTATCTTCTGCACTCAACATTCCAACAGACACTTTTGGAATATCTTAGACATTCTCGACGATTTTCTTACTACGTTTCGATTTGATTGATTGATTTATCCGCACATTTTTAAGACAAATATTGCTAATTAATATTACTAATTAAAACACTTCCGCCCCACTGTTCAATTAAAGACTTAACTCTAGAGACATGATAGGGTTCATGAATGAGTGAAAATTAAGAAGAACCTAGATGTATCAAAATATGACGATAGTCCTTTACTAAAATTAAAGAGATTATTGTAAAAATGTTTTGGCCTAATAGTAAACGGAATTGTGATCCAAAAGTTTCTTTCTTATTGAATGTAAAAGAAATAATACATATTATACAAGAATAAAAGTCTCAGTCATAGTAATTCCAATAAAGATACGAGAAATGGTCTTTCTATTGGCTGAAGGTCATCAGGGCATGGAAAAAAACAAAAAACTTAGCCCGAGGAACGTTTACTAAACATGAATCCGCATGACTTACAAAAGCAATGTGATGTATGCCTTAAAAGAACCACTCTTGTCACATGAACAATTTAATCCACGGCAAAAAGTAGCAACTGTGTTGTTTGATTATAAAGGAAAGAAATACTTATTAGTTGTAGACTACTATTCAAATTACATTGAATTGAAATAGCTTATTTGAACATGATAGTAGAAGTTCAACAGTAATTACACAATTAAAATCAATATTTGCTCGACATGGAATTCCTTTACAATTAGTCATGATGGTGGTCCCCCTTATAATTTCAGCTGTATTTTAAAAATTTCTTATATATGATTGGGATATTCAAACATAATGTCAAGTCCTCATTACCCCAGATCAAACGGTCTAGCAGAAGTCTCTGTTAAAACTATAAAAAATAAAAAATGTGATGAGTCAAATACAGATTATTATTTAGGACTTTTACAACACAGAACAACACCTAGAGGAAACATAAATTCCCCTTCACAACTGTTAATGTCACGTCAGCTAAGAACCAAATTACCTTCTAAAATAGCTAATAAAAAACCTAAAGTTGTAAAATTTTCAATACATTCACAAAACAAACACAAAACATAGATAAATCAAAGTTTTATTATGATAAAAATTCTCATCAGTATTCAGATTTTAATGATAAGATTTAGTATATTTCAAAAAGAATCCTAAAGGTATTTCTTGGTCAAGAGGTACTATTGTCTCAAAGTCCAACTTTCCCCGTTCATATATTATAAAAGATGAATATGGCACTACTTACAGAAGGAATTCACAACACATCCGTCAAAGATACAACAAACAATCATCACAATCAGCATACATACCATCAGAGTCAGACAATCACACTAAGCCTAGTAATATTAATATGTCAAATAATTCTTTGTTAGATAAAGAGGATGATAGTATGATTGTAACAAGTTATTTTAAGTCAAAAGAAAATGTAAATCATAGTAATTACTCAGCCACCTAAGTATAGTAGTCGAGGAAGATTAATAAAGAAAAGAAATGTGTTTATATTTATAATTTGTATTTTAGTTCAAAGTTATAAGAATAAGTTTGTAAACACTTCATTGTATTTCATTGTATAAGATTGTCACATTCATTTCACTTTTAGGGAAATGTATTTAAAAAAATTAAAACTATATGTTAGTCAATAAAAGATATTTCCCCCCTCATTTCATTAGTTTTAAGCTTTGATTGTTAATTTAATTGTTTTTAAAAATTGTTAACAAACAAACAAATTCCTGGTCATTAGCAAATGTCAATGATCGTTATTTTTCATTTGTAAAAAAGGGGCATGTAACATTATTGTCTATTATTATTATATATATTGGGTCGTTCATAGATATTACTTCCTTCTTATTCTTGTCAACGCCCAACGTGCATATCATGTAAGTGATCAAATAAAGTTTATACAACTAAACAAGTCTTCTTTACTCATTTACAATAAAACAGCTACAAGCTGTGATTTTATCAAGAATTCTTATTCTACTCTTTTCAAAGTAAGGGGACTTTTATTAAATCCTAAATATCAAGGGTGGCCACACACAGAAAACCATTTAAATAATTTAACTCCCCTTCACTGCCCCTACCGCCTATGTCAATAAATAGATCACGCGAAGCATTTCAAATTTAAAATCCCATCTTATAAAGAAAAATGAGCCACCCCTGTTATACATCAATGTATTGAAGTCGACGAAAGCTGTCTACTCTCCAAAATTTCATCCGGTACGTCGTGTGTGAATATCACGCGAGGCGAGTATCACGTCTGTCCCTATGTATGGTTAGGTCTTTAAAACTACGCAACGGATCTCGATGCGGTTTTCTTTATTATATAGAGTGATTCAAGAGGAAGGTTATGTATAATACATTGCACTGGTGCGAAGCCGGGGCGCGTCGCTAGTTCGCATTACGTGCGATACATCGGAGGGGTGTTGCAGTGCACCCGCTGTGTACACGAGCGCTCGAGGTCACCGGTCCAGGGCGGGGGCGGCGTCGCGCCTACGCCAGCCGCCGCGACCCGTCCCTAATGGGAAATCGATGACCCGACGCCGCTACTGGGGCGCGTTTCGATTGCCCCTGCCGACTTCCAGTGACGGTTGCTTGTGTCCCGATACTGAGATCAACACAACGGCTGAACGTAAACAGAACTTTTATAAATAAATAAATAAATAATAAATAAATAAATACTTAAGGACACATTTTTACACAACATTCCCTAGTCCCAAACTAAGCAAAGCTTGTACTATGGGTACTAGATAACTGATAAACATACTTAAACATACTTTTCTTTTGTAAATAAATACATATTATACATATATAAACACCCGGACACTAGAAAAACACTATGTTCATCACACAATATTTTTCCAGTAGTGGGGATCGAACCCACACCCTCTGGCACAGGGGGCAGTTACACTACCCACTAAGCCATTCGGGTCGTCACTTTCGACCGAGTGAACAGATTTCGATGATTCTTTTTTTTTATTTGAAAGCTGGTGCTTCCCATGTGGTCCCATATTAATGTCATTGATATTGGATCTACTTAGGGAACTACTAAAAATCAATTGTAAAATGAATACAGAGCGAGATATTTGAAATCGGTTTTGTTTTTCGTTATTAATGCAAAAACTTGGCAAGCGAGCTGGTAGTTCACCTGCGTTAAGTGATTACCGCCGCCCTGACACCCCCGACTGAGCAGCTGACGGGTTTCAAATGCGTTTCCAACATTAAATAAGTGGGTTATGGCAACAGCTACACAAACTATTTCTCACTTAGTATGAAATAGCTGGCTGTTATTATGTAGCTGGTATTTATGGTGTTATGGCCAAGTAACAGGAACAGGCGTAACAGGTACTTGATATTACGAATAAGTCACTCCTACTTCCAACTTATTTTCTTCGGCTTTTGCATTCGAATGGGCTTCTGATTATTTCTAAATTCGAATGGCCCTCTCGTGACCCTTCCATCGAAACGCTGGCGAGTTACGCAAAAAGCGAGAGAAATGTAAAGAATGCTTTTCTCGATCAAATATGCCGACTACTCTCCTTGAAGTATCTTCTCGCACTCAACATTCCAACAGACACTTTTGGAATATCTTAGACATTCTCGACGATTTTCTTACGACGTTCGATTTGATTGATGATTTATCCGCACATTTTTAAGAACAAATATTGCTAATTGATATTACTAATTAAAACCCCGCCCCACTGTTTCTTAAGTGGTCTCTGGAATGACAGGGTCCGAGGTGAGTGAAAATTAAGAAGAACCAGATGTATCAAAAATATCGAATAGTCCTTACTAATATTATAATCGCGAAAGTTGGTATGTACGGATGTTTGTTACTCTTCCGCAAATGTAAAAGTACAATAATATAGCTTATACAACAGAATAAAACAGGCTATAATTTATAAAGATACAATGGTCTCTCAAAGTGGCTGTCTGTCTGGAACGCCTTCACGACTAAACCGCAGAACAAATTTAGATGAATTTTGGTATAAAGATAGATAGGACCTTGGAGAAGAAAATAAGCTACTCGAAGTACTAATCCTGCGAAGAGGATGTCGCTGGCACCACCAGCTAGTATTCATTTTTTTATGTGAGGAAGTGGCAAACGAGCTGGCGGTTCACCTGATGTTAAGTAATAACCGCCGCCCATGAACAGTTGCAACACCCGTAGGGTTGCAGATGCGTTGCCACCTCTTAATAATGTGGGCCCTGGCTGCCTCACTCGAAAAGACGAAACGCAGAAATGCAACACTTCTACTTTACGCCGGTCTTCTGTGAGGTCGTGGTACTAACCCGGACGGACCTGCTCATTCGTGCAACAGCGAACACTGTGTTGAGTGGTTCAATTCATATACATATATTATGAACTGCCTTATACGTCGCAATTCAATTTTTATTTTGAAGTGTTCTTTTATTATTTTCGCCTGCCTTTCGTCGTACAAGATCCCAAGCAATGCGTTCAAGAAAACGTCGGAGCGATTACTCTGAAACGGTTTCGCAAGTAAGAATCGATCGGGCCAACTCCGGGGGTGGCTTGGCAGGCACGCGACGCGTTTCGGCGCCTAGCGCGTCGTGCCAAATCGCTCGCAAAGGTGAGGCCCTAGAAATTAAACTAGCTTCTGCCAGCGGGCGATGCTTGGTTCTTCGAAGTCAAATGTTTTTCCTCTGTGTTCATCCATCTCGGTTTGAGTTATCATGCGAAAGGTTTAAGCCGCAGCGGTACTTTTAGTTTGGTTGGCCTATAATTATAGGAACGTTTACGAAGAATTTTTTGTATTTTTTTAAATACTTTCATTAATGCAATATTATCCAATCTTAAGAAAATAGATAAATGAAATTCTCAAAGAGATATGTTAATATTTGGTAATTCATACACATACGAGGACCCATACCCGACACGAGGGGAGCTACGATATCCGTAGCTCCTGTATACCTCACTGGACTTGCCCATACGACCTTGTATGGCGCAATTTACACGGTCCGAGTTGGGTGGCGGAACTTTACACCAGTTGATAACTATTCCGGCTCGTGTGCATATTTTGAACACGTGGCCAGAAATTCCAACGTCAACGCGCGACACCGCATGCCATGCTGGTTGTGATTCTCCCCCACTCTTAGCGTCGGGACAGTATTACCCATGTTTTTTTCTATCCGAGAAATCATTGTAAAAGATTTAACAACTAGTATGATTTTCATTTAGGATACGTGTTCGACGGTTTAAACTGTCGATTAAATCCTGTTCTTTACAAAAAAAACATCATGGTATATGCCATAATTATTTCACTTCGTGAATGTATAACATTCAATGTGCTTTCGTTTGCATTATGAATATTTCAACTTGATACGAAACTATCATAACAACAGAAAATAATTCACACTGTGATTTTACTTAGGAGAAAACACATTTACATGCAAAATTGATTTCCATAAATTATAATACGGCTTTACATGACTGGAGAATAAATAACATATTTTATTATAGGATAATAATTCGAGCAGCCACGAAAAGCATATTTATCGATGTCTAACCCATTCAACGTTTTCTAGGCGGCTGTTTCGTTGGGACGTTGATTCGAGGTTATTTTGGATGAACATGATTTGAGGCAACGTTTTATACGTTTAATGATAATATTTCGCCAAACTCGTTTATTCAATGTATCGTACGTATGAAAATGAGTTAGATTGACTGACAAACTTTACCGATTTTTACATTATTATTACAAGTCATAAGGGCGGTCTGTATTCATATAACTTATACCATAAAGATATATATATATATATATATATATATATATATATATATATATATATATAAATATATATATATATATATATATATATATATATATATATATAAAGGAAAAAACTAGGTTAAGAATTTCTAGATATTGCTTTCGATTTTTAATGCCAAACAAGTGAATGTTTTCCACTGGTTTCTCTAGATTTAAGCCGGCAACAGCAAATGCGAACTGAATAAACAAATCCGTAATAAATCAGCGTGTACAGTGCAAGATTGAGGAGTATTCATTGCGAGATTGAGGGACAAAAAAATGATCTGCTGTTCAAGCGCGATATAAAACCTCCATGGTAGAACTAGTCGACGGAGCAACGGGAAAGGAACGTTCTGGAAGGTGTTTTCGTTTCTACGGAACCGTTCGTGCCGTGGAGACCGGCTTTACGATGCATCGGCGATCGCGGGCGCGAGCGGTACTCGGTTATTAGTTACGCAAGCGTCTCTGTTCAGCGAGCGGGGCCGTGGGCGCGGGCGACTGTCAAGGCCTAGACCGCTCCATTGAGCGTTCTCGCCCACTTGATATACGGTTTAGGGTACGCGCGAACGAATCGAGTATCGATCTAGTTTGGGTTAGCTCGCTTTTGATTCAACGTACTACGGCAACTTTAGTCAAGCGCTCAGCGGTGGAGGAAAACATCGCGAGGAAACCCCCTGAACAGATGAGGCCTTTGTTTGCCCAGCAGGACATGTGGACATTTAAACCTTAGCCGTTCCCGTATACGACGAAAGAGCTTACCGAGTAAAGGGTCGGCATCGTGTCAATATTACAAATTGAAAATATACATAATTCCGTGCTTGCTTCGTCGCTCTTTCCACCGACAAGGTTATTGTGCGAATGAAACGTGAAGCGGTGATAGAAATAACACATTTATTACGTTTTACGTCGTAAAATCGACTGAGAGATTCGAAAAAGCACCGCGAGTAAAAAGTAGTGGAAATATATGTATAGATTACGAGACATAAAACTTTTCATATTAAGTTGTAGTCGCTGGAAGGTTTTTATCTTGATGACTTAGGGATTATGTGGGGACCGTAAACTGTGAAGCGTCATCGATCACACTGCCAGCGAAAATTCTGTTGTGGACTCATTAAAATGGAGAAGTTAGTAGCCGGTGAGGTTGCATTTGCTGCCGTAATCATGTTTGATTGATTGACTTTATGTTATATACTGGTAGGTCTGTATGAAAGCTGTTTATTACTTAAGTACGTAGAAACACATTTGAACACTTTCTAAATAATCATTAAAGTGTTCAGTTAAAGTTGATAATATAGGAGTGCCATTTTGAACAAAAATTGAAAGCTAGTTTAAAATTTGTAAATAATATATTTTAAAACTACATATACAAATTCCAAGTTATTTCGTGATCAAATAATTTCCTAGATCTTCGTCAAAGAATTTCAATGAGTCATTCGAAAAAGAAGAAAAACTAATACGTTCAAGTTTAAACAACTTAAATCAAGTTAGTAGTATTTTGACCTTTGTCGTATTGACTAGAATTCCAGTCGACATAGTCTTGTTAAGATTTTTCTGTATTCAGATTTAAACTAGCGTGTTATGATAACAAGTGAAGACGTTTCAAACTCCTAACAAATGAAAACTACTTATCTTAATCTATACTGTTTCCATTTTGAACAAAACTTGGATGTAAAGCTTTCGCGTTTTCGTCTGGTGAGTGAAAAAGTTGCAAACCCTCGGGTGTTGTTTATGTCTATGGACGACGGAATTCATTAAACATCAGGAGAACCGACTGCTCCCGTCACATAAAAAAATATCAATAGCAAAGCACAAACTTCAGATTTGCACATGTACTCAACAACCTGAATCTTCCACGTTACAGTAGCTTCGTAATTTGATCATAAGAATAATAATTTATACACTCAACGGTCGGTATAAATTGCTAATTATAATTAATCGTGTTTAATGTTTCATCCATAAAAAGAGTTTTTTCAAGAAAAAATATGTTTTAGTAAATTCTTTATTATTATCACTTCATCGTGTTCATTATGTTGTTGATTTATAATAAAAAACCATAAAATACTAGAACTGTACAAAATAACTGGAGTATGTACACAGTTGACTGATTTGTAAGTAATTAAATTTAATTCTTATTTAATGCAACTGTGGTAAACGGTGTTGATTGTGTAATTAGCGTAGACATTTATTAACACTCGATATCATTGAGTCATGTCTGCTTTTTAATAAATACTTTAAATGTGTAATTTTTAGTTCGTAAAGAGATACACAATTCTATGCAGCCTCTGTGGCACGAATGGGCTGGCTGTACCGCAGTGACACGGGTTTTGTATATATGCCCATGGGTTATCAATTAACACCAGGTGAACCGCGGCATGTTCCTTGAAAAATATTTCTCATAGAGACGTTAAAATTCGTCAGAACTGTACGATGTCAGCTTTGTCAATAATATTTTGGTATCATGACATAAAGGTTTGCCTTCCTTGGTCAAAACTTTGTACCTACACAAGAAATCTGGTACAAATAATAATTAAATGTAAATTAAACTTTTTTATCAAAGTACTTACACGTGACTTTAATGCCTCTAGCATTCGCATATATGTACCAAGCAAAGCTTGTATTGAATTGTTTCCTTTAACGGTGGTTGGGCCACGCAACCTCAATTTAATTGCTTATTCTTATTTACTTCTTTAGTACTTTCCAGTCAAGTAGCGAGTTAGCGGTTCACTTGATGTTAAATGATAACCGCCTGTGCAACAAATGATTTACATTTACAACTCCCGCAGGGTTACAGATGCGTTGCCACCTTTTAATAAAGTGGGTCCCAGCTACCACACTCAACAGACGAAACGCAGAAGTACAACACTTCATATACTTCAGGTCGTGTTAGTTACCCAGACGGACCTGCCCATTCATGTAATAAAGAGCCATACGACATGAAATACACGTCCTGGAAATGTTTGTGGGCGTTCCCTATAATTTCCTTCAGATAGAGCGAGCGGTACAATACTACAGTACCATTAATTACAGCTGTGCTGTTGTAAATAATAGCCACTAAATCTCGCGAAACGTTATCCGCGTTACAATTGCAGAGCAACGATTATTTATTATGTACCTATAATTCTATTTTGTATACACCGTAACTTTAAAGGTTATCTTCATAAAACAAAAACAAACATAGTTTAAACGCCCTAAAACCTTAAACCAATAATAAAATTCAATTGTATCTGTGTTTACAGAATAAATGACAAATTTAAATGTAAATTGCTATTTACTCTATTCCCGAAGTTATTTAGGCTCCGAAGCGGCTGAATGGATTTCAATAAAAGTTGTTTATAAATGGTTTACTTACTTACATTACCCTGAACATTACATTTCGATATTTTTCAATACATGTGTTTAAGTATTCAAGTAAATTCCGTTACTAATTATGTATGTGTACTCTTGTATTAACTGATGTTTTTGCTTTCAGTCCCGAGACTATTAAAGCTTCATCTGACGCAGAAACGGTGGGCTAGTCAGAACCCACGGGTTTGGGCTGCGGGCATAAGTTGCTTGTAAATGATGTAAAGCTAATATAAAAATGTAGCTTAGTGGGTACACACATTTGGTTTATAAATGTAAACAACAATTCTTTTATTGCGCAATGTTGAATAATGGCTTAACTTATGCTTAACCTTAGAAATACTATCTTCTTGGAAACAATTAATGGAGTCAACATAGTAATCTATTCAATTTCATTCACGTGCGCTTTCGTCATGCGTTTAAGTGATAGTTTTTTTATTTAAGACAGCCAGGCTGTTACTCCTTGTTGGTTATATGGTATCGTTGATAGTAACACGTTATCTCCTTTCGGTACGCATTGTATTAGTTGAATATGGAATAAGCTGACTCAACCTGCCAATCGAGACCAACTCGATTAGCGGCAAACAAAACTACAACTACGGTCCGCACAGAGTGTACAAGCCGTTACACGGTCCCCTGCCTAGGGCACGATACCCCCCCCGTTTAATGGGGCTTTATCATATGTAAATTTTTGAAAAAGAGCAACTGTTTAGTTTCTTGCCGGTCTCTTCTCAACAGAAACCGCTTTCCGAACCGGTGGTACCTTACGAACCTATACACATAATCTTTAATGTAAAATTTGACGATTCATAAGAGCGCGCAGGCGTCTATTTGAATAAATATATTTTTGATTTTGATCTATGTATGATGACTCTGTGGCGCAGTTGCCAAGGTTTCGGCTTCGGCGTCGGGGGTCGTGGGTTCGATTCCCACACGATCTATTTGCGGCCCACAAATAGTTGTTTAGCATCTGGGTGTTTGTCCACGTGAAATTTATGTTTGTAAAACGTCCTTACAACACATGTCCATTACTTTAGGATAACATTATCCTAAAGTAAGATCAATGTTTTTCAAAAAAAAAAAAATAACAAAAAAAATCTATGGTGATGTTGTCCCTTGCATCATTACGCATTACGTAATCTTCTGCATTCCGCTGCCGACTACATATACGCGAGTATGCTGACTTTTTGTAGTTCTTTTAATTACAAACCATCTGCGCCGTTGGTAAGCAGTGACGTGAAAACATGGTAAAATTGATCAGTATGTCTAATCTTACTGAATAAAGCAAGATTCGTCATGCGGATTTTATCTTTAAATGTCGGCTACATGTCGAAACGGGGGATTGCAACCTCAACTGCGATGGGTGCCGTCTGTTGACAGCTGCGAGCAGTCTATAGGTGCGTTACGTAAATAAAACAAGGTAAAAAAAAAATATTGCAGCAATCCAGAACTAGCCAATAAATAATAAAATGAGTCTTCCATATCGGTGCGAGAGAAGAGGCGAAAGCATTAAGAACAAAGTTTTCAATAAGGAAGATATCAAGTAGACTTTCAATAACATAAAACAAAACCGATATCATAACAACGATCATAACGATATAAAAACAAATATCTCAATCACTATACGAGTAGAAGATATTTGAAGACATCCCCGATGTATTTCCGTAGTCCCAGGGAGGGAGCTAAACCGTACGCAATCCAAAAAGATCTTTTTAAATCCCTACATAAATGACTGAGGTAACAAACAAAAAACGACCTAATTAAGATTCTTCCTTTTTTAAATCGTTTGAAAATGTCATTTCCGCATACCTCTAGGTCGCACCATACGTTTCTCAACATATTATAGGAGAATATAAAAACCTTTTCGATACTAAAGTGAAAATACTCGGCCGCATCCGCGTTGCAAATTGGTTGACTACACAAAAATGCTGCTCGGCGGCCGCGAAAGGGGGCGTTGGCCCACAGCTGTTTGGACATTTTATTATCGGGCCACGATGCACCTTGCGTTATCTTTGTCGTGTAACAGAGCTTTGGTGCATGATAATAAGGTCTAAATTCGCTCGCAGATGCGGAGCTAGTTCCCTCGCGCAAGGTTGTCGCAGCGCGCATGGGGTGGAATATTCTGGTGAGGATATTACAAGTGTCGTTGAACTCGGTTTCACGAGTCCAAATTGCGATGTCACCTAGATGCATGTTAGAATAAAGGAATTGACTTGCGCACTCGGTTGGCGTAGTGGTGTGTGCGTAGTGTTGTTCAAGGTCAAAAGGTCGAGTGGCTTCGACAGCAAGCGCTCAGTACGTGGTCGGACCATTTGGATTCGGAGTTCAATGCGATTGCTTCAAGGCAAAAGTGAATACTTTTATTGAGCTAGGGCGTTTACCACC